TAAGAAGCATCCTAACAAAAGACCCAGTGAACCAAGTGTGTGACAGGAAAATATCTAGACAAACGTGCCAGCTGAGCCCTCCTAAAACCCTTGACATTAGCAAAAATTTGGAAGGCTAATGCTTATGTGCTTTGCATCGAAATCAGTCTGTAAAGCTTCTCAAGGAGCAGCGATAAAACCTTCATCTCTCCTAAGGTCCACCACCGAAGCATAGTGAGAATTAAAGAGTTGGCAGCTTTCAATTTAACTTTTTACCTCTGGCCCTGATGCTCCAGTCTTCATATCTCCCGGTCAGCGTTCATTTTGTTGTTGTTTGGTTGTTTGTTCAGCAAATTTCTACCAAGCCCCCTTATTCAAGGCAAATGGTGTGGGATGATTGGCATTGCCACAAAAACAGGGTCTGGGGGCCAGAGAACATCACAGCCTGTTACGTGGCTGCCTCGTCCAAAAAGGGGCTGAAAATAACTGGGCTAAAGATTGTCTGTATTCAGAAAGATGCATATTGTCTTTTTGCATCTGTCTTTAAAAAACTTCTCGGCACAAAGAGTAAAGTCTGAATTTCTGAGGAGAGATACAGCTTTCCTCTTTGACTTATTATGAGGATCAGAGAGATGCAACACATAACCTTCCAGATGCTTTGGACAGTTCTTGTGTGCCATTGTGTCACTTCAGTTACGGTGACCCTAATCAAGATTTATGAGATATTCAAGCTGCTACTTTATGGAAAGCCCTGCCCGTGTGTGTGTGCGGGTCGCTTCCCACCAAGCATTTTGTAAATTGATAAGAACATACTCATTCAAAGTAGCTTTCTGGGATATTCTTCCCTCATGACAGCCTGCCGTGACGATATTATTCTTGTTGCTTCGACTGTTGTCTCTCCCCTGTGCTTCGTGGTTATTGTTCTGATCTCATTTTTGATGGGTGGGAGGGTAGTGTGTTAATATGTTTTTATCTATGTAAACTGCCCAGAGTAGTAGCATGCCATTAGATGTGTGGTAAATACAATCAATAAATAAACATTCAATAAAGGAGTGGATTTACCCGTGCCGCAATACCATCAGTGAGTTTCCATAGTCAAGCAACAATTTGAACCCAAATGAGGCCTAGTGTGGTTCTCTGCCCGCTATATCACAAGGATCTTGATTACAGGGGGCCATAAAGATGCCCATGAACACTTAGCAGCATCTGGACAGAAGCCGCCTCAGCCAAAGCCGACCTGGTTGCTATTAATAGGATGCATTCTCTTTCTACTTAAATGACAGCAGGTCGTTTCCTCTATGTCCACATAAATCAGCATGTGCAGATTTTAATACAAACTTTGTCCTGAGTACACCCTCTTTTTTATGGTGATCCATTACTCTTTTGGGGGGGTTGCCAACCCAACCTCCTCCCTCATATCATTTAAAAACTCCCCCCCACACCTGCCATGGTGTCTCATTCCAGTTGTTGCTTTTGGCCTTGCCTCATTTCCTCTTTTCCCCCAAGGATTGGGGGCTGGGCAGAAAAAAACGCAGCGTCAGGAAATTTGGTTAAGTTCCTCCTGCTTAGCTAAGTGATCCAGAAGTGACCTAAAAGCAAAAAGGTCACTATATGTATTTGGCAGCTATATATTCCCTCCCCCCCCCCAAAAAAAATCAGGAGACAGCATTTCAAGGAGGAAGCACAGGAATTGGGAGCCTCCAGAAGAAGGCATTAACAGAGGTGAAAGTGGAAGAAGTTGTGGTTATTGCAATGGGTGCTCCTTAACCTTTTCTTTGTCTACTAGGAGGAAAGGCGTTTGGAGTGCTGAAAGCCCAACAAGAAGAATTTCTGGACTCCCTTAATAAGGTAAAGAATGGCCCTAGACATTTTGCGGTTCTTCTACCAGGTGTATCTATTGTAACCAAGGCCAGCCATGTTATTTTGCCACATGAGACACAAACATCTCACATAAGTACCCCCCCTCTCCATCCACCCTAAAGGAAAGACATAAGAATAAAGCATTAAATCTTGAAATATGGGTGAGGTGCCAGATGACTGGAGGAGGGCTAATGTTGTCCCTATCTACAAAAAGGACAAAAAGGAGACAGCTGGGAACTACATTCCAGTCAGCCTGACATCAGTCCCAGGAGAAATTCTGGGACAGATTATAAAGCGTTCACTATGCAAACATCTAGAAAACAAAGCAGAAATAACTAGAAGCCTACACGGATTTGTGAAGAACAAATCCTGCTGGACTAATCTGATCTCATTTTTTGATCGGGCAACCTCCCTGATAGACAGAGACTGGAGGAGGGCTAATGTTGTCCCTATCTACAAAAAGGGCAAAAAGGAGACAGCTGGGAACTACATTCCAGTCAGCCCGATATCAATCCCAGGAGAAATTCTGGGACAGATTATAAAGCGTTCACTATGCAAACATCTAGAAAACAAAGCAGAAATAACTAGAAGCCAACACGGATTTGTGAAGAACAAATCCTGCCGGACTAATCTGATCTCATTTTTTGATCAGGTAACCTCCCTGATAGACGGAGGGAATGCTGTAGACATAGTATATCTTGACTTCAGCAAAGCTTTTGACAAAAGTGCCCCATAATATTCTAATTAGCAAGTTAACTAGGTTGCGCTGGATATAACAACTGTCAGGTGGATACACAGTTGGCTACAGAATCATATTCAGAGGGTGATGATTATAGATGGGGATATTCGTATATAAATACAAATATCCCCGAAGCAGCTGGACCTACAAAGGGTCCAGCCCCCAGGACTGGACTGTCCACTCATGTTCTTCCTGCAGCGCCGGTCCCGCTCATCCTGCCAATGGTGCCTGCTCCTCCACTCTCTTCCCGCTCAGCTGGCCATTCAGCAGCCATGCAGGGAAACTTGACCTCCCGCCCTCTGCCTGGAGTGGCAGGACGAGTGGGACTGGCATCTCGGCAAGACGTGTGAGTGGGCAGTATGGTTCCAGGGGCCAGACCCTCATTAGGTCCAGTTGCATTGGGGGTATTCGTATATGAACATCCCCATCTCTGGTGATGATTAGGATATTCGTATACGAATATCCCCATCTCTGGTGATGATTCATGGCTCCTTCCCAAACTAGGAAGAGGTAGCGATGTGCCCTACCACCCATGCAGCCTTGACAAGCTATGTGCTCCCAAAGCAGTGGTTCTCTCCCTTGGGTAATCCTGGTGTTCTTCAACTGCAGTTCCCAGAAGCTTTCACCACCAGCTGTGCTGGCCGAGGTTTCTGGGAATTGCAGTCCAAGAACACCTGGGTTACCCAAAGTTTGGGAATCATTGTCCCGGAGCACCACCCAGAAGAAGGGAAGAGTAAAACATTTTATTGATTGATCTAAAATATTTTATCCCACCTTTTTCCTTTAAAGAAAATATTTTTATCCCACCTTTTTCCTTTAAAGAGGACCCAGGCTGGCTTACATAGTTAAAAACACAATTTTAAAAGCTAAAAACAGTAAATTATTCAAATACTTGACAAAAATATAAACCCTCCCGTTTTAAAACCTCATGGCAAGTCACTTACATAGTTAAAAACACAATTTTAAAAGCTGAAAACAGTAAATTATTCCAATACTTGACAAAAATACAAACCCTCCCATTTAAAAACCTCATGGCAAAGTCACAAAGGAGCGGTCTATATGCAGAAGACCTTGGCAGGATGGCCAGCTTTCTCAGTTTTGACTTGATGGCATATCATTTATTCAAGTATATTTAGGGCTGCAACTCCAAGGCTTCACAGTATATGTGTCTAGAACTGCAGCGTAAACCAACAATGACAGCATAGTTTTGGTTTTGAAGGATCAGATAAAATAAATTTAAAAGGACACGATAACAGATTGCAGGCTGGAATTATTCTGTCTCCACCAAAAATCAGTGGTGATTGGATTAAACCAGGTCCAGCCAGAAATGGTGGTAAAAGTTACTTCTTTTGGACCACCAGTCCTAAAATGTCCCAGCTGGCATGGCCAGTGGTGGGAATTTTAGCCTCTGCGAAATATCTTTCCAAGCTTTGGCTACTGCAATTCTCTTAGAATGCATCCCTATATATGGCTCTGAAGAAAGCCATCTATAGGGCTGCATTCTAAGAGAAACTCCATGAGTTTAAGTCGGACTTCCTTCCAGGTAACAGAATTGCCACTTCTACATTATCCCTTTTAATGTTGGAACCGACCGTGGACGACAGTCCTGTTCATGGCAGCCTACGAGCGATTCCTTTCCTGACCACTTCCCCTCACTCTTCTTTCTACAGGAATTCTTGGATGACCCAAAATACAGCACCGACGAAGAGCTGGCCGAAAAATTAGAAATATTTAAGAGTAAACATTTTCACTGGAAGGCTTTGGAAAATGGGAGGGGGTGGGATGAGAGAGACTGGACCGGACCAACATGCCGAGGGGTGGACAAGCAGGTGACCAGATGCCATCCCAAGACATCTCCCTGCCTGAGCTTCAGCATCACATAGTGCTGATAACACAACTTGGCCACATTATTTAGGCATTTGTGATGTTGTCATGTTCTGTCAACGCACTCAAGAATCACGGCAAGCCAAGCAGGGTTTTTGAGGCATGTGAGATGTTTGAAGAGTAATTTACCATTACTACACATCCCCATCCAGTGACTTTGCCTAGGAGAACAGGGATTTGAACCCAGCCCTGCCCCAAGTCTCAGTCCAATACTCTATCCATTAAATCACACTAGTTCTTTCGGCACAGGAGGCAGAAAATCTGAGCAGCGCTATCTACCCCAGTACAAATACAATAAAAGCAGAGAAAGGAACCATGTGCCACCCCTTCACGATGGTGCAAATCTCTTGCTTGAAACAGCTGCCACGTTCTGCCTAACACTAGAGTGGATTCTGTTGGTGCCCAATTCCATGTGATTTCTCTATGGGCACCTCTGTGTACCATTCCTGAGGATGTTTTCAAATAGTTTCCCACTGAGAATCAGGAACTGACTTAACGAGACAGTGGCTGAAATCCTGTTGCACAGTTACTCAAACTGTGTAACTCTTCAATATAAATTGCTGTAAGTTAAGGCATCTCTGTAGACTTTATCTGTTGCACACTGAGTTCCACAACTTGGTGTGCAATAGATAAAGCCCATTGATATTTCTGAGAAAGGTCAACAATCCCCTTTGAAACAATGGCTGGGCAATTCTGGAACTATGAGAACTTGTATAGTTCAAATTTTTTTAAAAAATTCTAAGCTCTAGATATATTGGACTAGAGAGATGATGCGTGGGATGGACAAGCTTTCAGCCTTCCAGATGCAGTTGCATTTCAACTTCACAAACCCTTAGCACAATGGTTCCCAACCTTCTTGGACTTCAGCTCCCAGAAATCGTAGCCAGCACAGCTCCTGGTGAAGGCTTCTGGGAGTTTTGATCCAAGAACATCTAGAAACCCAAACCTGGGAACCATTCCCTTAGTACCTCCTGTGCCAGTTGAGGCTCATGGGTGCTGAAGAGTTACCCACCCCCAAGGCAGATTTCATGCCCAATCTAGCAGGCCAATGACTGTGATCTTGCCCTTACCTTTCTCTGTTCTTTTTTGTAGAGAAATACATGGAATTCGACCTCAATGCACAAGGTGATATAGGTGAGTTTGTTGGTGTGTCGTGTTCATACATGTATGTGCAAGATCTCTCTATGGCATAGCCAGCCTTGCTCTCTAATTCTTGTTGTTGTTGTTTAGTCATTCAGTCGTGTCCGACTCTTTGTGACCCCATGGACCAGAGCACGCCAGGCCCTCCTGTCTGCCTCATGTTGGTAGCTTCAATGACACTGTCCAACCATCTCGTCCTCTGTCGTCCCCTTCTCCTCCCGCCTTCACACTTTCCTAACATCAGGGTCTTTTCCAGGGAGTCTTTTCTTCTCATCAGATGGCCAAAGTATTGGAGCCTCAGCTTCAGGATCTGTCCTTCCAGTGAGCACTCAGGGTTGATTTTCTTCAGAATGTATAGGTTTCTATTGGCAGTCCAGGGGACTCTCAAGAGTCTCCTCCAGCACCACAATGCAAAGGCATCAATTCTTCAGCAGTCAGCCTTCTTTATGGTTCAGCTCTCACTTCCATACAACACTACTGGAAATATCATAGCTTTGACTATGCGGCAAGGTGATGTCTCTGTTTTTTATGATGCTGTCTAGATTTGTCATCACTTTCCTCCCAAGAAGCAGGCGTCTTAATTTCGTGGCTGCTGTCTCCATCTGCAGTGATCATGGAGCCCAAGAAGGTAAAATCTGTCATTGCCTCAATTTCTTCCCCTTCTATTTCCCAGGAGGTGATGGGACCAGTGGCCATGATCTTAGTTTTTTTGATGTTCAGTTTCAGACCATTTTTTGTGCTCTCTTCTTTCGCCCTCATTAAGAGGTTCCTTAATTCCTCCTCACTTTCTGCCATCAGAGTGGTATCATCTGCATATTGGAGGTTGTTGATATTTCTTCCGGCAATCTTAATTCCGGCTTGGGATTCAACCAGTCCTGCCTTTTGCATGATGTATTCTGCATATAAGTTAAATAAGCAGGGAGACAATATACAGCCTTGTCGTACTCCTTTCCCAATTTTGAACCAATCGGTTGTTCCATATCCAGTTCTAATTGTTGCTTCCTGTTCCACATATAGGTTTCTCAGGAGACAGACAAGGTGGTCAGGCACTCCCATTTCTTTAAGGACTTGCCATAGTTTGCTGTGGTCCACACAGTGTGAAATGAGTGCAGTTGTACCGTAGTTGGAGCATTCTTTGGCACTGCCCTTCTTTGGGATTGGGATGTAGTGTGGAGGTGCCATTCCCAAGGTTACTAAGCCACATGGGTGTTGTAGTGTAGAGAAAACTCTGCTAGCATCCTGTGGCTGCTTCTGAGGGGAGGAGCTGCCACCATTCCTCCTCTTTCTCATTATCATAGCGAGCTTGCCATAGAGGCCTTTCCTTAGGCCAATCAGAGGGCTTGATTCCCCCAGACCAATCCTAATAACATGATGTAACCATTGTCCTATCTGAACCCTGTCTACTATCTGTAATGCTGTCACTACCTGTGACCTTGTAATGTTAATAAAAGGACAGTCTCCTGGGGGCAGGGCAGAGAGAGAGACGGACAGAGAGAGAGCCAGAAGAAGCCAGACGACTTCTCATTCTGCTTCCTTGCTGAGTCGCCCACCAGGAGCACTGCTGGCAGACATCCATCTGTGTGTGTGGCTGACTTCTTTAATCTATTGCTAAGAGACTCTTTGCTATCCATTATCTGGTGATCACCACAAAGCCCATCAGCCTGCTCATTGCCTGAACCCAACAATGTAGACTGATCTTTTCCAATCTTCTGGCCACTGCTAAGTTTTCCAAACTTGCTGGCAATTGGGTGTAGCACCTTAACAGTGTCATCTTTTAGGATTTTAAATAGTTCAATTAGGATGCCATCACGTCCACTGGCCTTGTTGTTAGCCAAGCTTTCTAAGGCCCACTTGACTTCACTCTCCAGGATGTCTGGCTCAAGGTCAGCAACCACAGTATCTGGGTTGTCCGGCGCATCTATATCTTTCTGATATAATTCCTCTGTGTATTCTTGCCACCTCTTCTTGATGTCTT